AATTTATGTCATATACTGACATACCAAATATCGTCTTTTATCTGAAAAAATAAAAAAGTTATAGGGGGTGAGCCACTTTTGAGACGCCCCGGTATACTTTTACCATAATATTAAAGTTGTAGTATGATTTTAATGAGCTTAAGAAAAATATAATATAGACATTAAATTTACCAACAACACATGCGTAGGTAATTGCGGCATTGAGTAACGTTTGCTACAAACTGAAGAAAATATGACGCGCTAACAAAAATATTAGCCAACATCCTAAAATTAACTGTGTATTGTAACATACACGCATCGCCAAGATTTTAGCCTTAATATTATATAATAATTTTCGATTTGGCAACCGTCCGTCGTGCTGGTACCAATGCAGTGGTGCGCGCTTTCAACGACCTGGTTTGCCATGAAACTAAGACGTATCACATTGACAATTGAAGTCATTTTTGGTTTATTTATAAATAAATTTCCTTCTATCCCTACACAAAGAAATTGAAATGGGTGAAGTATTTTTTTACCTGAAATGACTATCTCATTAAAGATGTGATTATCTACAACTTTTATCTGAAAACTTTTCGTCTAAAATAGATTATAATGGAATTAGGAAGCATTTTAAAACTAGTCGAAATTTAGTTTTTAGATATCTAGTAAACCCTAAACTTTTTCAAAGATCCGAAAGGCGCATATGTTTGTCCTCACAAAATATAGAGAACAACGTAGAAAACCTGTATAATTTAAGTAGATTAGAAAAAAAATATCCGGCAGAAGAGTTAATAATCTGCAAAATAAACTTTACCTAACTCGTATCTGGATATAGAATATCTCTTTTAATAAAGGGTTTGTGCTAAAAATGTTGTACTATATTATAAAAATAATAAATAATAATGTGCTAATGTGAGCTTAGGTAAAGGCAACTAGATTATCCATGTAATAAAAAATGAAATGGAATAGAAAAAATGTATTTTATAAGAATAGTTAGAAACTTCGGCAGCATATTCTGCAGATAAAAATAAGCAAAAATGTTCGTATAAATGTATGTCCTAAAAAGCTTAGTTTCGGAGATACAGGGTGTAGAAGTTTAATTTTTATTACGATTTTTGTCCAAATAATTTCTGAAGTAATGTCAGTATTTGGATGAAAATTGGTGTCTGGAAGTTTTTGACATGAGAAATTTGATTTTGATGTCATTATGACTCCTATTTGTCGGGGGCGCCACCTACATGTGTTTTAACTCTTTTAAAGAGTAATAGCTTTTCGTCTATACCTATATAAAACTACTGAGTGAAAAAATATACATTTCTGTAACCTTTTACGTAAAAAAATGTCTCTTGGTAAAAATCACTATGAGCAATCGTTCTGAAGATATTTAGAACGGAAATAGTCAATACACATTTGTCATTATTGGCAAAAAATAAACACGTTGAGTAGATAGTAGATAGTTATTGGACTGAAATAAAATAAATTTAAGAAATTTATATCTTTTTATACTAATCACAAATTTTTCTCCGAAAAAATGATGATAAAACAGTTTCTGTTGAACTTTCGGCACAAAAACATTTAAAATTTATGATTTCAGTCTAATAACTATTTAGTCAACATGTTTAATTTATATCAATGATGATAGGTATTGATAATTTCGATTCTTTATCTCGAGAACCATAATTCGTAGATAGGATTTTTACCAAGAGGTCTTTTTTACGTAAAAAACGTCGTAAATGTACATTTTTATACTCAGTTGTTTTATACAGGTACCGACAAAAAATTATTATTCTTCAAACCAGTTAAAAAATATGTAGGTGGCACCCTCTACAAGTAGGAGTCATATTAACATCAAGATCAAATTTCTAATGTCAAAAAACTCTCAGTCACCAATTTTCATCTAAATAATGACGTTACTTCAGAAATTATTTAGCAAAAATAAAAAAAAATGAAACTACACCCTGTATTTTCGAAACTAACCCCATTTTAGGACATATATTTACACAAACTTTTTCACTTATTTTTTTATTATTTTCACTTATTTTTATCTGCAGAATATGCTGCCGAAGTTCCCGGAATACATTTGGGACCACCCTGTATATGACTATCAAATTCATAGACATTAAGTAAAATAAAGCTCTCCTCAGAAAGGTTATAAACGAACAACAAACGCCAAAAACTGGTTTTGGTTAAAAAATTTAGAATATTTTTAGAATAATACGTTGAAATAAGCAGTAAGTTTGTCTTAAGTACGTAAATACGAAAATACAGTCAAATATTTGATAAAAATATACATATGAATATAAACAAAAGATGTTATTGTGGGGATTATAATAAAAAAGAAGAATGAAATTATTGGGCAAACCTACAGTAAGATTAGCCATGAAATATGGCTAAAATATCCCGTAGTCAATCAATCCTGACCCGTAGACATTTAGTGTTTCTGCCTTCCGACTTCATCAATACAGGAGGAATCAGCAACTATGAACTAGCGATCCTGAAAAAAGAAAAAGGGAAGCAAACGGGGTACTAGGCGATGTGAGCTACTGCTTAACCACGTTGCAAACGGCACCATTTGAAGCCGGAAGGCAGAAACACTAAGTGTCTACGGGTAGTCGTATTTTAGCCATATTTCATGGCTAATCTTACTGTAGATTTGCCCAATAATTTCATTCTTCTTTCATATAAATATATAGAGACACAAGATAGTATACCTTTAAACGATAGTAGTATTGAGTAATATTAAAACGGTTAGATATCTTTATTTTTCTATGATTACTTATTATTACAATGAATAAAAATTCTAAAAATCTCCCTAGTAGACAAGAGAGAATAGTAGAAAAAAAGTTGCTCTGTTAATTTGCTTTAGTTTACAGCTTGTTAACACATTTATAATAGGAAGAGATGCATTACTTTACAGTTTTCTATGAAGGTTATCTATATTTTGGCATTTAAATAATCGAAAATTCTTCCTCTAGGAGATGCGAGACTTTGTCGTTACTAGGGGGAATCCCCTCTAGCACTTTAGCAGGAAGATCCCCATGTATGATGAGTTATTGACTGTATGATGAGTTATAACTCATCATACCTAAAAGCATTCCTAAAAACTTAGTGTGTAATTATTATCATATTTGTTATCATATCCCATTTAGTAGATAATCGTATGATCCGAAAGGTCTGATCAAGCAGGCGTTGATTTTGACAGTTAAACAATCTAATGTAATCTAATGTAAAGCAGGCATGATAATAAAATTTTTGATTCACTTTGTATTTATTAAAATAAAAAATTAAAAAATAGGTAATCTACAGGGTGGCGAAATGAAGAGTAAATTTTAAATTTCGATAACAGCTACTTAAATTTTAGTTGACCTTGTATAGTCTGATATTTAATTACAGTAGCCATTGTATGTTAAACCAAATTGAAATTTGACCCAAAAAGTTATACGGGGTGAGACAAAATTAATATGGAACATTAGTCACTTTTAAAAGCAAGTTACTCCTTTATTTTAAATTGAACACCCAGTATATTTTTCCGCTGTTCAATAAGGAATTTATATATCTTCAAAATATTATTAAGGTTGCCTACCCCTCAGACAAAGATTTTCCTAGATATTTTAATTTTTATGATTTTGAGTGAGTAGATTGAGTAGATCTTAATTATTTGAAAAAATCTAGGGTGGCTCTGTGATATACCTTTTGTTAAAACAAAAATTAAAGAGTGTATAGTAAAGTACTCACCGGTAATAAAAAGATACACGTTTTAACATATTTTAATTATTACAGAATTAAAACTAGATATAAACCTATAATTATGTGACAAAAATTAGCCAGATGAGATAAAATGCTCAAAATTCTTCGTTTCCTGTTAACTGCATAAAATGCTTCTCTTTTCAAAAGGATCTTTTCATTTTAAAAGGCATTATGTGGAGTTCTACCTCGAAAAGCAGCTACAATAATTTCTCTGATGTTGTCGACAATAGTTGGTCATGTTTTGTAAACACTGTCTTTAACATATCCCATAAAAACCCCATACTAAATAAAATCAGGAGCATTTAAGTATTCTATTAATTTCTGAATGCACACTGCATTCACCAACTTCTAGAATCATATCAGTTCTTTCTGATGTAGGATAAGTTTGCATTTTCGGCAAATTTCTGAGAATTTTTTTTGTTTTCATTGACACAAAATGATAACTAGTTGTTAAAGTTGGACTAATTAGACAGCTATGTTGAAGTAACGTCAGACCATATCACAGCCACCTAGATTTTATCAAATAATAAAGATCTACTCAGATCAAATCATGTAAATGAAAATATCTAGGAAAATATTTGTTTGAGGGGTAGGCAACCTTAATAGTATTTTGAAGAGACATGAATTCTCCATTGAATATCGGAATAATAATACTGGGTGTTCCATTTAAAATAAAAAAAGTAACATGCTTTTAAAGGTGGCCAATGTTCAATATTAATTTTGTCTCACCCTGTATAACTTTTTGGATCAAATTTTAATTTAATTTAAAGTACAATAGTTAATTTAACTACATATTAGGCTATACCGGGTAAATTCCAATTTAGGTAGCGTTTATTGTAATTTAAAAATTGTTCTTTATTTCTATATAGAAAATGTTAAATATGTCAAAAACTTTACATTTTAGTCATATACTTCTCTTTGAAAAAACACAATTTTGATATGTAACTTTTTTTGGGGACACTCTGCAGAACTCTCTATACTTTTAAAAAGTGCTCTGAGTTAACCTACATATGTTCACAAAATTTCATTTCAATACAAACTGTTGTTCTCCTTGGAGCCTCCGCGGCGTATGAGAGGCGCCACCCTGTATATTAAATAATTTTACAGAAGAAACGTAAATACTAGCAGTTGAAATACTACAAATTCTTATGAAATGTTAAAAAGTTGTTATATTAGGCAAACGTTTAATTTGTCTTTATTTAGATACTAACGAGTTAAATATAAATGTTTGATTTGTACCTATATTTGTGAATAAATGATGTGGCATGACTTACTTGAATTTTTATTTTAAATTCCAATGAGGACACAACCCAAAATATGAATGGTTAAAATGGAAAAGCACAGAACTGACCAGAAGACGTTTAATGCCCCACAAACGAGTTGTGAAAGTGCGCAAACTTAGCACGTCTTATACTAAAACAGCGTTCAGGTGTATGAGTCCAACTGTACCAATCGTATCCCACTTAGAAGGTACTTGACCAATGGTACAACCGGTTTCTGGGTCACGTGGTTTGCTTTCTCCCGCGACAACAATTTGAATCATATTCGTTTGTATTGCATAAAGAAAAGAATAAGTATAAATGTAACAGAAATTGCTGCAAACGTCATTAGTGATGTTAATACGATTTCTGAGTAATTACTGGATTTGTTATATTTTAAATTAATACAATATGATTTATGAAGAAATATTATATAAAAGATCTCGTTAATTTAAGTATGGCAACCTAAATAATAAAAATGTAAAAAATAGATATAATTATGTCTTCCTGTTAGATAAGTTATAGTTTTTCGTCATATCGGCGTTAGATTTTTAATGCTTATTTAAATTAAGTTAAAATAGGTATCTCTTGTAAAACTATGCGAAAATATATAGACAAAAATGTAGTAAATAATAGGAGGACAATTTTACAAAAGAAAATAGTCGTTACTGGAGTTGGAAAGTATATCTCCTAAAATTTATATAGGGGTGGGTTAGTGGGGTTAGTTTTCACCATTGCCGAACTTTTTCTTGCATTTTGTAAAAGTTAAATGTTAAAGAGCTTTGCAAAACATATACACTTCAAATCTCATTCAAATCAGAATATCGCTTGTTAAAATATCTTAAAAAATGTATTTGTTTATTTAAAGTTTGGTGCCCTCGAACGGACAAACGAAGCACTTCCAAGACTACTTTTTGATTCCAAAAAAGATCTATACCAAAATTATATTTTTTCTTATGGAACACCCGGTATTTTATTTCATTTTTGGATTCGCGGGCATAAAATAAGGCATTTCTTATAAAGGTTTAATATGTTTAAATGCTTTGGTTTTTGAGATATTTAAAGATATTTGAATATGCATGCTATAATAAGAAAGTTTGTCAACATTAGTCCCTGTAGATTACTTTTGAGAGTTAATTCTTGTGCTGACTTTGAAGCCAGAGAAATAAACTTTACTAAAAAAATGTATTGCTTCGTTAAATGTATACAGGGGTATCAAAAATTGCTGGTGTATTTTAAATATTTATTTTACATAAAAACTTCGTTATTTCAAATACAACACTATGTATTTTTTTAAATAAGTCGAAGCAGAATTAAATGCTCTTTCAAACTATATTGGGCTTTCTATACCTATCTGGCCCAGATTTTGAATAAAAAGCGATTTTTCAATAAAATGGCAATCAAGATGGCTGGTGTCGCCATGGCAATTTGCTAGTGACACTTAGTAGCTATTTTCAAAATCAACATTAGTTTATGGACTTTATTTAAATATATAACAGTTTACTTTTGTTTAATTGATTTTGAAAATAGCTACTAAGTGCTAAGTGTCACTAGACAATTGGCATGGCGTATCCAGCGATCTTGATTACAATTATATTGAAAAATCGCTCTTTATTCAAAATCTGAGCCAGATAGGTATAGTAAACCCTAATATATTTTGAAAGAGCATTTAAATCTGCTTCGACTTGTTCAAAAAAATACATAGTGTTGCATTTGAAACGAAGTTTCTACGTAAAATAAATATTTAAAACAGACCAGCAATTTTTGATGCCCCGGTATACATTTAAAAAAGCAATCAAATTTTTTAGTAAAGTTTATTTCTCTGGCTTAAAAGTCAGCATAAGAATAAATGCTGAAAAGTAATGTACGAGGTGTTAACAAACTTTTTTATTATAGCATGCATATTTAAATATCTTTAAATAGGTATCTCAAAAACCAAAGCTTTTAGACATATTAAACCCTTATAATAAATGCCTTATTTTATGTCCAAGAATCCAAAAATGAAATAAAATACCGGGTATTCCATAAAAAAAATATAACTTTGGTAAGAATCTTAGTTCTGACACACCCTGTACATTTCAAAATAATTTTAAATTGTGCACCTTGTCTTCCCACATATACCCATAAAATATCTTGTTTCTATATCTTTCCGTTTTCGTATAATCAACCGAGGAGAATGAGGTGCGCCACCCTGTATATTATTTGTATATAATAATACAGGGTGTCCCAGAAATAAGAGCAAGTATTTTAACTGGTAGTATAATTCAACCCCAGAAACACGCCTATGAGGTTTTTTCGCGAAGAAAATTTTTTAAAAATTCGGAATTTTTTGAAAAATTTTTTGGATTTTTTTTAGTTTTTAGTTAAAAAACATAATTTCTTGATAATATGGTAACATCGGTTGTAGAATTAAATTTACAAAAAAGAAAACCCAGAAAAGATCCAGGTTCTCAACATTTTAGCAACAAGTAATTTTTTTGTTGGAATTTTCAAAGCAAAATAACTCCGTTATTTTGGATTTATTTGAAAAACGATAAAGAGAAAATATGTTTCTTTTATCGAGATCTATCACCCCTTAAATTTCTTGCACTTATTTCTGGGACACCCCGTATAATAATAATAAATCGTCTTTTTTGTACTATACAAAAAAAGATAGTTACAATTTGTGGGCGAAGTTTAGCTGTATATGTTACGAGTAATAAACCAATAGATTATAAAATTTGTTTAGAATTAACTAATTATCTGTTTTTAGCCTTGCATTTTTGCATTTATTTACTAATAGTCTGCTTAGTAGTTATTTGAGAGGAGTCGTATTCTTGTTATTAAATATTTATATTAACTTATTTAATTTGAATTAAATTTATGTTTATACAATTTTAATAACTATAATAAATAATATTGACTGACTCAACGTAAAACAATATCAGCAAATTATTGAGTGTGTCCTACTTTTATATATTAACAATTGTTTAAAAAAATAGAACGCCACTGATAAGCCGTAGTTTAACTTAGCCATATTAAAGTTCCTTGAGGGTGTAAATTTAGTGGATACAGTTCTTCATTTCATTCAATGGTATATAGCTACAGTCTATACAACGAAAATAGTTTCGACAGATATTATCCAAATATGACAGAAAATACAAAAATGACAACAAAAAAGTAAATTATAGACATAGACAGATAATAACATCCAATGCATAGTAATTATATTATTTATTATTTCACAACCAATCCAATCATATTATGCTTCCAAATAGGAATCAAAGGAAATATTCAACACATTTCATATTTTTATTTAAGATATTTTAACCTAAATATTGAATAACATAACTAAAGCAAAAGAAACTGCATTTATTTTTTGCTACAGCGAACAAGATCCACTTGAAAATATATTAACATTAAACATTTTTAATTACGTTATTAGCCAGCAATTAATATCCCACTTTAAAGCCAATGAATGATTTTAGAAATCCCAAAGACTTTCTTAATGCAGTTTTAAAAGTAAAGCCATTATTATATTGTTAGTTAATTTCTACATATTGTTATAATATTAGTTGTTTTCTGTTTATAAATAATTTATTATTTGAATATTATTGGGGATATACAGGGTGGTCCGAACTGTATTCCGGAAACTTCGGCAGCATATTCTGCAGGTAAAACAATGTAAAAAAGTTCGTATAAATGTATGTTCTAAAATGCTTAGTTTCGGATATACAGAGTGTAGAAGTTTCATTTTTATTTCGATTTTTTCTAAATAATTTTTGCAGTAACGTCAATATTTGGATGAAAATTGGTGTCTGGAAGTTTTTTGACATGAGAAATTAATTTGATTTTGATGTCAATAAAACTCCTCTTTGTAGGGGACGCCACCTACATGTATTTTAACTGTTTTGAAGAGTAAACTATTCGTCCGTACCTGTATAAAACTACTGAGTGAAAAAATATACATTTCCGGGATTTTATTAATAAGTTTTATAATATGTCTAATTAAATTTGGGCGAAAGGAATATTGCTTGTTGCTGTAAATAATTTCTCAGGGAGAACAGGTAACGGGTGGCCAACTAAGAATGGACGCCGGCTGTATCTCAAAAACTACTTATCGTATAACTTTGGAAAAAAAATTCTAGTAAGTAAATCGACCAAGAAAAATCGCTGCCTCCGACCAAGAATCGACCAAGAAAAACCAATTTGCCTCTTTTTGTTTCCTAGCCTACTATTATAATTTTTAGACCATATAATCCTAAGCGGTAGCCTAACATGATTTGTTCTCTTAATATCTCCGGTTAGAGGGAGGATAGAAAGTTACGGTTTGCGCTAATATTTTGAAAATGTTGTGCTCTATTTAACTGCGCAAAGAGAAATATAGCCTCCTATTTAATTTTTTTATGCAAAAGCACAATATCTGTTATGATGTCAAACAGCGCCCTCTAGCTACCACGAAAAAAAATATGGAAACAAAATTTACACTGGAGATCATTAAGGAAAAAAAGCTCTTTTAAATGAGCCCTAGTTTGTTTAAATCGGTTAATCTAGACCAGAGTTATCCTTATTTTAATAAAAGCAAGTTTAACCTTCCCCCACCACTTTATTTTATGAGTTAGAGCAAAAAACTCTATATCAAAAAAATTACAAATGTTCCGATGATTACAATAGTAATATTTAAAATACCTGTTCACCTGCATATTTTTGAGAAAACCCCTGTTTTCTGATTGGCTATCAGAGAAACGCCCCCTAGCGGATATTTTTCGAACTTGAAAATAATTTCCAGCGATTTCTCTTAGTCGATTTACTTGTTAGAATTTTTTTCCCAAACTTATACGATAAGTAGTTTCTGAGATACAGCCGGCGTCCATTCTTAGTTGGCCACCCGGTACGTAAATAAAAAGGAGTTTTTAGGTCTAAAAAAGTAAAAAGGACAATTTGTTCCAAAAAAGGACTGTCCTTTTGAAAAATTGACAGATGGCAACCCTAACGCAATCTGTCCTGTCTGTGGAAGATTAAGACAGTTTTTAGTGATAGATTTATATAGTTTGTTTTAAATAACGTATAATTATTGTATTAATTGTCCGAACAAACGTATAAATGACTAAAACCTTGTAATTGTCTAAATTTTATTATCAGGATTTTTTAATCCGCCAGTCTAAATATACTGTTATTTCTTTTTCGTACCAATATTTTTTTTAAACAAATTATAAACTTAATAATCATCACAAATTCAAGGCGTTCAGAAAGAAATGTTTCTTTCCGATCAAAAGTATTGTTTTCACAGGGACATTATTTAAAACCGATATTGAAAAAACATTAGAGACCTAGAAAGAACTTCTATCTATAATCGTTAATATTAAATGCCGATTAATAATTGAAAGGGATAAAATTACGGCTCATCCTGAACTTGTGCGGTAGTGAAAGACTTAGTACATCCAGTGGCGAACCATAAAAATGATTATAAATAAGGAAAAAAGATTTTTAAACATTTCAAGTTGTTATTGGTGCAATTATTAAAAAATTATGTACTCGTAATACCACAGACTAACTTAAAGTAAGTTTAGTCTCTGGTAATAAATTCGTTTATTTCTTGAACTTTCTTGATGTTTTGGTGAATGCATTTTCTTGGCTAATTTATGTACCATTTCAAAATTTAGAACCGAATAAGAAATATATTTATATATTTATGGAATAAATAGAAATTAATATAAAAAAGTTATAAGATTAATTAAGAATAAGGTTCATTTTTTTGTAAAATAATAGACAGTTAGTTGTAACTCTTGCAATCTTACTAAATAATAGACAGATAAATATTTTTATACGCTAAATATATCTTGCAATAATCTCTATTCTACAAGCTACAATATTATAGTAATCGAATAGTTTGTTTCTGTAGCATACCCTATGAAAAAACGGCATCAAGTTGGCTTAGAAATAATAAGTAATAACATTACCCATAATTTTACATAATAAATTACGGCAATCTTTATTTCAAAGCCATATATTAGTTGTAATTTGTAAAAAATGTGTAGTTGTAAGTTGTAAAAAATCAGTGTAGATAGTACCGTATGATTGAAAAAAAAACGGCGTCTAGTTGGCTGGGAAATTACGATCGATGACATTTCCCATATAAATTTACATATAAAATGACAGCGATTTTCATTTCATAGCCATCGCTGACTAGATTAATATAAAAAAATATAATAATATAATAACCTTCATTGTAGATTGGGAGTTTATACATCAGCTTACAATCATTTATGTAAATATTATAAGACTGCGTACTATTAGATGACATTGACGTCTCATCAAAATAAAAATAATAATAACTATTGCATCAAATAGATGCTCAAATAGATAAATAATTACAAAATAAATTTTAGTGTTAAACTACTTTAATTTTAATAATGTTTATCGGCTTTCTCAAAATATAAGAACACTTATAAAATAAAGGCTGTACTTAAACTGCCGTTAAACGGTAGCTTACTAAAATGCCGTTAATACGTATGACGTCGTTGATGTAACGCACTTGATGGTTTTATGAAATATAGGAATTTTATAAGGACTAACCAACGCTATCCACCCCACCAAATAACCAACTTAACCAACGCAACTAACCTCGACACTGATAAAAAATATAAAAAACAAATATAAATTAGTAAAAATCAATCAACCCCACCAAATAACCAACTAACCAATGAATTAACACCCTCCAAATAACCACGCTAACCAACCCGTCAAATAACTAAACCAATCCAACCAAAAAGAGTGAAACCAATGCAATAAGATCACGCTATAAGCAAAAAAAATATAAAAAAGCTTGATCGGCGTGAGATTTGAACCACGAACCATTCGCTTACGAAGCGATAGCCTCAACCACTGACCAAATAACCAAATAACTAAACCAATCCAACCAAAAAGAGTGAAACCAATGCAATAAGATCACGCTATAAGCAAAAAAAATATAAAAAAGCTTGGTCGGCGTGAGATTTGAACCACGGACCATTCGCTTACGAAGCGATAGCCTCAACCACTGACCCACAGGTGCTCTTGCAAATGCTTAAGGCTAGGCATTACTTTGCGCCGACATGAACGACGTCACAATATCTATTAACGGCATTTTAGTAGGCTACCGTTTAACGGCTGTTTAAGTACATCGTAAAATAAATTCCCACATTGTATTTTCCCCTATGTGCCTCAATTTTTTGAGAGTTATCTTAAATCTAGATATTGTCACTAAACACAACAAGTCGAATGTCGTAAATTTTAACATGTAGAATGTAGAATGTTTAGAACGGGAGTTAATCACGGCGACCTCACAGATCTGTTGTGTGTTACCCTTTCTTGAGTTATAACGAGTTATAACTCATCATACAGTCTTAGCGCTTAACAAAAGCCAGTATCTGAGACGGCTCCACAGAGGCCAGCTCTCCATCCTCGACATCAGCCGTACCAAAGTTCATGGCACGAATGGTCGTCGTCTCGGCGCGCTCAGTGATAAGGTGTTCTGGTGTTTCTCCATTTTCTCCACAGAATCTGCATTCGCCGTTGTTACTCAGCTTCAACCTACTGAGATGTTCGTTGAGGAGACAGTATTCTGTTAGGAAAAATTTATGGAAATTCAAGGAAAACTTACTAACCAGGTTACGCATGGAGTCTTCCAGATTATTCAGTTCCGCTTTCAATTTGTTCCCGCTTGAAAAACAGAACGGTTCTGGTTCAGTTAGTGGAGTGTTCGCTCCTTTTCTAGCAAGATCAGTTGCTTTATCATTGCCTTCTATCTCTTGGTGAGCAGGCACCCAGAGTAGGAGGACTGTATTTTCTTTGCCTAATTTGTTGAGCTTCTCTAGGCATTCTTTGACCAACTTCGAATTGATAGTTACTGAGTTGATCACGTTTAGTGCTGCTTGACTATCGGATAGGATGACAATTACCTGTTTTCGATAGTTCCTATCTAAGATAAATTGTACGCATCTTTCGATAATAGTAATAGAGTAAATATTATAGAGTAAATTTCTGCCTGAAGGATGCTGGGGTAGATGCCCATTGGTTTGGAGTATTTAGTTTTCGGCCCAAGTACTCCTATCCCTGTCCTTGCTTTGGTTTTGGAAGCATCAGTATACCACGTTATGGTATGGTCTTTTTCATGCTGAGCAAACGTTTCTTCCTTCCAATCCTTTTTATCACTCAATACTACAGTGAGGTGTTTCTCAAAGTTGTAAATTTTTGGTATCATCCACTGGGAGTTGGGGAAGTAGAATTTTCTTTTTGGGGGTGTTCCAAGCCCCTGACCTGAAAATTCTCCCAGCACTGTTTCCGTCAATGACAATTCTAATCATTGTCGCATTGGTATAACTAACTGTTGGACTCAAAATACATATTGAATAGAAAATATTTTAGAAAATCTAAATTATTATAGAAAATATTTTAGAAAATCTAAATTATTATAGAAAATATTTTCAATAGATGGTAACGAGCTATACCTGTAGCTACCGTATACGTACTAAGTAGCTACTCATACTCCCTTCAAAAACCTCCCTGTATTACTTTATTTTTTTAATGGCGCTTACTGCCTGTTGGCCTTAAGAAGGTTCTAATTTATTTTTATTTGAGTAAAAATAATTATTTTTAAATGGTATAGTTTTAAATTCGAAAAAAAAAATTTTAGCAAACATATTTTACCGTTTTTATTCGATCATATGGTACAATGTACTATGCTATGTGAAAAAAAAATCCGGCGTCAGAGATGGGTCGCAAATGAATATAGCTGTCATTTTGTATGTGAAATTATAAGGGAAATATCATCGATCGTCGTTTGCATCGATTTCGGAAGGGCGTCATTTTTTTCGATCATACGGTATTAATAAAATAGAAATATTGGATAAGATAAGGTTTTCCTGCAGATATGTCTTATTAAAATTTAAATCGGATTTTTTGACACCGCCACTGGACCTATCAAGCCATTGGATCTAGAGTCTCCACCCAAGCAAAATTATCAAGGTTTCCGATTGGTCCACGACAGACATTGAAAAATCGGCAACTCTATAATGTTATTGTCAAGAGTAACTGTTCGAACTCTTGTTATTCTTTGTTTTGAGTTGTGAATGGAGTGGGCAGTGCGAGACGATTCTGAAGTGATATGAACTGTTAAATCTTTTATTTACCGCTTAAAGTTAACGGAAAAAGAAACGGCCTCAAAGTAAGATTCACAACATTTCCGTGATTTTTAATTAAGTACAAATAGTTAATTGAAAATATACATTTTTTGCTTCATAGAAATCAGTATCATTATACAGACATACTATTTTATTGATTTTTGTCTAATAAATTCGAAATTTTCATCGAAATTAGTGTTCGTTAGGCTTTATTCAGAACCTCAAAATTAGTGGAACAAATTAGTGGTTTCAATTAGTGTAGAAGTTAAGTAGTCCTCTACTTTCAATTAGAAAGTCAAAGTTAGTGGTAGTAATTCTCAATTAAGATTCATTCAGAACCTCCAAATTAGTGAAAAAAATTAGTAGCTTTAATTAGAATAGAAATGTGTCCCTCTAATTTCAATGTAAGCATTCAAAACGTCAAAATTAGTGGTAGTAATTTTCAATTAGTCGAAAAAGTTAACAAACTTTAAACTTTTACAATAATTATAGTTCAAAATTTGAAAGGAATGGTATTTTGGCCTTTCATTAACTATCAAAAGAAATTGTGGCTGGAAATCAAAAGCTTACTGTTCAAAAGCTAAATATTAGGCTTTCTCTATGGATACAACTGATTACAGCCAGCTGTTGCCAGGATATTATATTAATTTTAATTGTGTTTTTTAAACATAAGAATGATCGTAAACTAAAAAGTATAAAGTGTAATTGAAACCACTAATTTACTCAAATAATTGCTTCTGAATTCTCAATGCACTGTTGCCGGCCTAGTATAAAATAGTAGGAACGACTTTGAATCGTGACTAGTGTTGCACAAGAGTCTTGAAAAAGTTTTGCAAGACCAAGACTCTTGCAAGAAATTCAAGACAAGACTTTCAAAATTTCTTGTCTTGAATTTCAAGACAAGACTTTAATATGCAAGAAACTTCAAGACTCTTGCAAGATTTCTTGAATTCAAGATTTCTTGAAAGTTGGAAATGATACATTTTTTTAAGTGAGTCTTTGCGCAAGTTATGCCGGGTTTATACAACATTTACATAGTCGTAATCACAATCATAGTCATCATGAAAGTTAAACTATCCACTTCTTATAAACCTGTTGACATCTACGATGAACTTAGCCTTTAATTATGTTATCCAACTTCACTGATGAAAAATTATGATTATGAAAATATTCTCTAAACGCACATTAAAATTGCGTTGTGATTATGACGATGATTAAGACTGTGATTATGATTACTTATGCAAATGTTGTATAAACCCGGCATTAATATTGACCAGTGATGTGATTTTTTTCTATCATAGCCAGTGTTTTAGAGTTTAGAATGAAATAAAATAAAGTCGAGGCAACAAACCGTATATTGGTAATTAGTATTATCCTTGTATATGAATTTATAAACAAGGGTATTATACACAAAATTATATTGGTATAATGGTATTATAAAAAAAAACTAGCGGTTGTTGAAGCTAATGGTGCGTTCGTGGAGCACGCTATTCGTACTATTTGGTACTACTTTTCATGCACGAAATGGCTCCGCGAACAAAAAGTAGTATTAAATAGTGCAAATAGTACACTCTAGCATGACCTTTCCGTACACCCTATGTCGAAACTTTTCCAACCAATCTTCCATAATAAAAAAAATAAAATAAATACCATAAAAAATAAAAGTAACAAATCCTGTTTCGTCAAACGGGCGAGTTGACGTAGTTCGTTTGCGGTCCGTTAAGATTTTTTTTGCTAAAATTAGCATCGTTGTTGTTCATTTTTCCATATTACATTTTGTATACGACTCTTTCTATGAAATAAAATATAGAAATATTATTACCTTTTTGTTAGAATGTAAAATTTTTCAAGACAAAAAATTTCAAGACTCTCGCAAGACAAGACAAGACTTTGCCATTCAAGACATCTGCAAGACAAGACTTTGAAAATTTCTTGTCTTGAATTTCAAGACAAGACAAGAAATTGATTTTCAAGACAAGAATTCTTGTCTTGTGCAACACTAATCATGACTACCAAAAAGTTGCTGCAAATAAAGCAACTTTTTGATTGGCACCCTGTTAAAAGTATATTCCCTTATTCATAAATATAATATGTAAAAATTAAATTCTGATTAACTACGTGATGAGCGTAATAATCCTGCAGGCGGATCCTGTAGATCCTGTAGATCCAAGATTCCACACCGCAATTAAAAAGAGAACTTTAAGCTTTATGTGCCAAATTATGGGATAAAATATACCTAGTGGCTATTAAAATTCTTCGTTTGGATTTTCGGTTAAAATAGATTTAGCAAGCGATACTTTTTATGGAAAATGTGAGTTTCATGAACTTGTCCCATATAAAATTATTATTAGACAAAAAGCAGTAAAATAGCAATCGCAACGATTTTGTTGTCACTTAGTATAACAGTAGAGAGGTAAATGTTCGACACATACATATATGAAAAAGACTTTCTATAAATTTGTTTACTTGCATCCAGCAAACTATAAAAAAGTGATCTAAATTTAAGCATAGTTTTTCGTCTACATCGAATTTCAAAATATTTGCAAGTAAAGTTCACTAAGTCTCCCGAAAAACGTAAAAAATACTTAAAAACTCTTTATCTTGAGAAGTGGATATCATATTTATAACTTCCTACTACAAAAATATTCTTTGATTTAATTTCTTTCAATTTAATATTTAGTTCCTCCTCCTATACAGGGTAACCCGAAATGAATTCAGGAAACTTCGCCAGCATATTCTGCAGATAAAAATATGTATAAATAAAACAATTTGTATAAATGTATGTCCTAAAATGCTTAGTTTCGGAAATACAGGGTATAGAAATGTAATTTTTATTTCGATATTTTCCGAATAATTTTTAGACTAATGTTGATATTTGCATGAAAATTAGTGTATGGGTGTTTTTTGACATGAAAATTTGATTTTGATATCAATATGATTCCTATTGGTAAGGGACACCACCTACGTGTTTTTGAGCTGTTTTGAATAGTAATAATTTTCAGCCAGTACCTGTATTAAAGTACTGAGTAAAAAAAATATATAATTCCAGGTTTTTTACGTAAAAAATGTCTCTTGATAAGAATCTCTACGAGCAACCGTTTTCAAGATTTTTGGAAAATACATGTCACCACTGTCAAAAAATAAATTCATATCTCCAAAAAATTCTATATGGGTATTTCGCCATTTTATGTAAACACTTCTGCGTTAATCCCAAACGGAAACTACTTGTCAGAAGTTAGGTTTAAAGATATATAAATTTGTCTAACGAACAAAAAAATGCTTACCGTTTCGGAAAGTTTATCCGCCGTCGCGTCGGAAGCAAAAAAATACCAAGGATAAAGAAAAAAACTATTTAAAATATTTAAATTCAACTATTCGAGGACACTTTAGTTTTTTAAAACAGATACGTCTACAAAAACCATTGACGTTCTGTTAAAAATGCAGTGGCGAAATACCCATCTAGGATTTTTTGGAGAGATGAATCCGCCACATAGGTATAGACATTTTTTAAAAAATAAATATATTGACTAGACATCAGTTATTTGTCTGAAATGAAAATTTTGGGAACTTTTTATTTTATTTTTTTAATTAATCACAAATTTTCCTATAACAATTATGTTTCTGTTAAACCTTTAGCACAAAAAAATTCCAGATTTCTAATAACTATCTAGTCATCATGTTTAAATTTTGTCAATGATTTCGATTTCAAATATCTTTAGAACTATTACTCGTACAACTTTTTACCACATAAACTATTTTGCGTAAAAAACGGCGGAAATATTATTTATGTTTTCACTCAGTAGTAATAATACAAATACGGACGAAATCTTATTACTTTTCAAAACAGTTCAAAACCATATAAAAGGCGACCTCTACAAGGAGAAGTCATATTAACATCGAAATGAAATTTCGTATGTCAAAAAACACCCAAACACTAATTTTCATCCAAATATCAAGTTAGTTCATTACAGAAAGAAAGAATAATTATTTGAAAAAATCCAAATATAAATGGAACTTCTACACCCTGTATCTCCGAAACGAATCATTTTAGGAATTTGTAGAATATGTTGCCGAAGTTTTCCGAATACAATTAGAACTACCCTGTAGAATAAAAATTTCTTTAAAAAGTCTTTATTAGAAAATTCTGCTTAAATTCAGATAACAATATTTGGTATATATTTTAACTACACATTATTTCAACACAGTTTAAAGAATATAAATATATCTTTAAACTGAGATTTCAATTTCCATGAAATTTTAGTTTTTGTATTTTTTATATTTATAAAAAATTGCTTTAGAAGAGTAAAATAACATTTCGGTAATTTTCAATAAAAACTAGATGATGAACACATTCAAAGTGACGGGCCTGGTGGCCGACCTAATGCCAAACATTAGGTTAATTCAAGCTTCGGGACATTTTATGCTAAATTATCATGCAGATAATTCTGGAGCTCTGCATGCCCTCAGACTAGGTTATCCTTGCGTGCATCTTTTGTTCGTCTTATTGCAATACGGGTAAGTAACGTAGACAAATAATATTAATTATTATATTATATTACACGAAGGCATAGCTATAATTACCTATAATCTAACCTAGGTATATCTAATAATATTATTATTAAATATGGCAATCTAGTAAGTCGGAGAGAGCAAAAATAAGAAGTATTTATCACATATAACTTCTTAACAAAAGCCAATATCTGAGACGGCTCCACAGAGGCCAGCTCTCCATTCTCGACATCTGCCGTACCAAAGTTCATGGTCGTCCGTCGTGTCGACGCACTCAGTGATAAGATGTTCTGGTGTTTCCCCATTTTCCCCACAGAATCTGCATTCGCCGTTGTTTCTCAGCTTCAGCCCACTGAGGTGTTACGTTGAGGAGCCGGTGTCCTGTTAGAAACACCGTGAAAATCCGAAGATTGTTTTCACTTAAGTCAAGGAAAATCTTTGATTTATCTCCGTCGTAAGTTCTGAGGAACTTTTTCAAGTGTCTTAGACCGTTGGAGGACGTCCATTCCAGGTTACGGATGGAGTCTTCCATATTATTCAGTTCCGGATTCAATTGGTTCCCGCTTAAAAAACAGAACGATTCTGGTTCAGTTAGTGGAGTGTTCGCTCCTTTTCTTGCTAAATCATTTGCTTTTTCATTGCCTTCTATCCCTTGGTGAGCAGGCACCCAGAGTAGAAGGACTTTATTTTCTTTTTGCCTAATTTTTTGAGCTTCTTTAGGCATTCTTTGGCCAACTTCGAATTGGCGGTTACTGAGTTGATGGCATTTAATGCTGCTTGACTATCGGATAGGATGGCTTGATGGCTATTTCCTGTTTTCGATAGTTCCTATCTAAGATAAAATGACCATTCTAATCACTACCGACGACAATGTGCTGTGGCGTTAGGTCTACGATGATCTTCATTGCTGCTGTTGAACATGTTCTCAAGGCACCTGGGATGCAGTCTCTCTACTTTTCCCAGATTTTGCCTTGCTGTCCGTTGCTCTAGTTTTGTATACCAAACAACTGCTCTATAGGTAATCATGGGTCTTACTATCATGGTATACATCCAGCGCAAAATGTTTCTGGCCAGTCTTCTGCATACCATGAGAGCTTTTGTGGTTTTGCTAGTAAAATTCTTAATATGCCTGTTCCAGAGAAGTTTACTATCCAGGCTTATTCCCAGATATTTGACTTACTGTGATGGCAGTATTTTCTTTCCATCTAAATGAATTCTTTTCAAGTTTTCCAGACTTCGCTTTCTGGTGAATGGCACTACCACGGTTTTGTCTGAGTTGATGCTCAGCCGGAGAGACTTTTTGGATCCGGTAGATCGTACGATAGATCCAAATGTGTTGCAGTTCTGTATGAAATGATGACATCGATATTATTATGTTACTAGATATTGAGTTATACAGGGTGAGTCTTAAATGAGTGCAAATATTTTCAGTGCTGGTAGATCTCGATAAAGGAAACATATTTTCTCTTTACCGTTTTTCAAATAAATCTAAAATAACCGAGATATTTTACTTTGGAAATTTCCGAAAAAAAAATGATTTTTTGCTAAAATTTCGAGAACCACTGGATCTTTTCTGTATTCTCTTTCTTGTGAATTTAATCTACTACCTATGGTTGCCATATTATCAACAAATTATGTTTTTTAACTAAAAATTAAAAAAAAAATCCAAAAATATTATCAAAAAATTTCAATTTTTTTTACAAAAAAAACTCATAATCGTGTTTCTAGGATCGAAATATACTACCCCTAAATTATTTATGACTCATCCTGTATCTTTTCAAAAAATGTTTCCAAAGAAGCTTAAAAATATATGTATACCGGGTGCGTCACAAAAGTGGCTCACCTCTATAACTTTTTTATTTTTTCATAAAAAAACAACGAGATTTGGTGTGTTGGTATATGACATAAATTGGAATTGATTGGCGCATTCAATTGTTTCCGGTCACTTCCGGATTCACCGGAAATGATTTTTTTTACTTTATTCGATAGAAAATGACACTCACATTCAATTCAGAATTGAATGACATGTCACGTCAACTTTTGACATAGTCACTCAAAAACAAATTGTATTTTAAATTTCAATCTAGAGTGCCATGGTTGTGTCAAAAAACTAATTTTTAATCAAGGAGCCTTGGATAAATAGACTTGATCGTCTAATGTTTTTAGTGCCTTGTCCTGGTCGGTTAAAAATTGCCCTAATCGTATTTTTAATCATATCTCAATTTTTTCAAATGAAACGAGGGTGGCTCATTAGCAAATTTGGAAAAAGCATTTTTTACGAATAATTTGATATCACACACTCGGTATTTCGAGTCAAATTGTCGCTACGAACCACATGTTACAATTTCAAATAAACCATATGCGAAAATGTCAAAAGTTGACATATGATATGTCATTCGATTTAGAGTGTCATTTTCTATCAAATAAACTAAAAAAATACTGAGGGTGCCATTTAAAAACCAAAAGTTGTAGTCATTTCCGGAAGTAACTGAAAACAATTGAATATGCTAATCAATCCTAATTTATGTCATATACTAACATACCAAATCTCATTGTTTTATCTGAAAAAATAAAAAAGTTATAGGGGTGAGCCACTTTTGAGACGCACCCGCTATATAAAAAATATTCTTGTAGTTTATAGAATTGCAAGTAAGTAATGATAAATAATATAAGCTATAAGTAATTATAAAATTTGCTGTCATTTTATTACTGCGTAATATTTCAGACCTTATTTTATTAATCAACTACCCTTGTACGTAAACTGATTTTTATAAAAATATAATTTTAGATGCATATTTGGCAACTTAGTGGTGGAGAAAGACAACGTAAACGACTTAGCTGCAAATACCATCACAATATTGTTCTTCACTCACTGTCTTACCAAATTTGTTTACTTCGCTGCAAGATCTAAACTATTTTACAGGTACCGTCTCAATATTTACTAAAGGTACATTCAGGCTCAGAGCGTCGAGCGTCGCGTCGCGTACGCCCCATTGAAATCGAACCTCGACGCTCAGCGGACGCTAGCGCAACGCCAAAGGCGACGCTGTCTACCTGAACGGTCTAATTTAAGTTAAGTGAATTGATTCCATTACGACACGCGACCGCGACGCAAACGCGACGCGACGCTCGACGCTCTCAGCCTGAATGTACCTTTACTCATTACTAAAGATAATATTAAATTGTTTCTGCAGAACCTTAGGAATTTGGAACCAAGCCAACAGTCATCCACTTTTTGTTGAATCGAATAACAGATATCATGCATTAGCACTGAAAAAAATGAGGAATTTACTTTATATAATTATGATAGGAACAATATTTTCGGCAGGAGGTAAAATGTAATAAAACTACAGAGTCCGGCAATAGTGCATTGGGCATCTGTAGCTCCTAGAATAAAAGACTTCAGAATTTTGTTTAAATGCAAACCTAAAATATATGTACGAGGATGTATTTCAGGAAAATATTTTAACTTCTATATGTTGACTCAAAAAGGTGTGAGTGGATCGGGATAATTTTTTTTTAAATGAAACACCCCTGTATTTTATTGCATTTTTGGCTTCCTTTCAAATCACTTTAGATAATGCTAAGATATGAGAAAATATATTTTGACAATTTCAGAGATATTAATAAATAAAGAAATACATATTTTTAAACTTCATTAAACAATTATTACAAATACAGGAACTGAAATCAAAACTATATTAGGTATTTACTTTATATCGACTATACTTATTTTGCTATAAATATCGTAATCTTAAATCATGCAGGGTGTTCAAAATTTTACGTCAAACATTCTAAAATATAAAATAATTTTTGTATATTATTTTTTTTTTATTAAATGGGTATTTCAAAAATAAACGAATAAAAAATAATTTCTATTTTAGAAAATTTGGCGTAGAATATTGAATATCCGAATGATTTACGATTACCATATTTATAGCAAAGTAAGTATAAACCATATAAAGTAAATACCTAATATAGTTTCGATATCAGGACAGTTCTTGTATTTGTAATATTTTTTTAAGAAAAGCTGAAAAATACATATTTTTTTATTTATTTGATAATATCTCTGAAACTATCGAAATGTATTTACTCATATCTTAGGATGTAAAATGATCTGAAAGGAACCCAAAAATGCAATAATATACAGAGTGTTTTATTTAAAAAAAATCATCCCAATCCACCTACACTTTGTTGAGCCACCCTATAGAAGTTAAAATATTTTCCTCAAAATACATCCTAGTATATACTTTAGGTTTGCACTTAAACAAAATTCTCAAGTTTTTTATTCTAGGAGCTACAGATGCCCGACGCACTATTGCCGGACTCTGTATAGTTTAATAATGATAATTATACCATAACTTTGTAGCATGGTCTGGAATTACTTTCGTGGGTGACAGTGTTCATTTCGTAAAAGATCCTAATAATGAAAACGAAACTATACCAGAAGAAATTCCGAGATTATTAATAAAATCATGGTATCCTTTCAACGCGATGTCTGGAATGTCTTATTATATAGCGTTGGTAATATTTTTAATATTTTTCTTATACAATAATTTATTATACCCAGTGGTTGAATAAAACAGCAAACAATTCTTTGTAGGTATTTCAAATATATTATGTCTTGTTCTCACTTCTACAGGCAAATCTCCTTGACAGTTTGTTCTGTTCGTGGTTGATTTTTGCCTGTGAACAACTGCAGCATCTTAAGGAAATAATGAAGCCTTTAATGGTAATTTGTATATATTTTACAGTTTACTAGAAATAATTATTGTATAATTTTTATCAACATGGATTCCAAATTCACACAAAATTTCCTTCATAATAGATACTTTTTTGATATCGTCATTTTAATAAAAAATTGGATTAAATAAATAATTTATTAATTTTAGATTAAGATATTATTTATTTAAGATACAACTTTTAAATAGACATTAAATGGCCTATACTACAATCAGATGTAAAAAAAAACGCAACGCAAAAATGTTTCGTGAAATTTAAAGTTTCATAAGTATTTTTTACATTTTAGCCCTATTTTCATGATTTTTTTAGCAAACTGTATACAAATATATCAACTTTACTTCGTAAACTCAGTTTTTAATAAATTTTAGTACCTATTTAGTTTATTATACAGGGTTAATTGAGAAGTTGCTTTTACCTTAATTTTGAAACACCCTGTGTAATAATTTCATGAGCCAATTTTACTAAAACATTATTCTTCGATCGGGATCATGTCTCCGGAGCATTTTCTTTTTTTGTGTCATGCCAATACATGCCTTGGTTAATTTTTAAGAGCGAAATGAACTTGCCACCAACAATTTACACTTTTTTATTATTATTCCTTTTTGATGTTATTTTTCAATACGACGAGGTGGCTTTGGTGATTATTGTGCACTATATATACCTACGAACTGCCCAACATATTCGACAGATCTGGTCCCTATAGAACAGGTTTGGAAAAGCTTGGTATGGAGGTTAGAGGTTGCGAAGTGGCACCAGCTTCATAAACTTTGCTTGGTCCTTAAAAAAAAATGGGAAAAAATAACGCAATATGATATAGTACAGCCTCATTGGCAGTATAGCCTCACCGGCAGTATAGCCTCATTGGTAGTATGAACGAACGTCCATAGGCAGTTATAGCAGCTCAGGTTGGCAATATTTTTCAGTTTGTATATTTTCTTTAATATCGTTAGTTCTGTTATAGTTATTAATGTTCATTAAAACTGTATCGGGAATGTATCGTTCTCTTTAACGTTTTTTTTTAAATTTAGTATAGAGTTTTCAATGCAGCTTAATATGACATTACGACAATAGTTAACAAAGCTACCTTGTCATATAGAAAAATAACATTAAAAAGTAATGATAATTGAAAAAATTATGAGTTGTAGGTGACAAATTCATGTCGCTCTCAAAAATGAACCAAAGCATGTGTGAACATGAGATAAGTAAGTAAGTTACTTACTTACTTACTTACTCAACATGAGATAAAAAAGTAAATACTCAGGAGACATGGTTCTGAGAGAAAAATATTGTTTTAGGAAAATTTGCTCACGAAATTATTGCACAGGGTCTTTTAAAATTAAGGTAATAAACAACAATTCGATAAACCCTGTAAAATAAAGCCCAATACTAAAATTTATAAAAAACAGAATTTACGAATTAAAGTTGATATATTTATATATCTTTTCAAAAAAATTATTAATATTGCTCTAAAAAAAATATACAGGGTGTCCTAGAAATAAGTGCAAATATTTTAACTGGTAGTATAGTTCAACCCCAGAAACACGCCTGTGAGGTTTTTTTTGCGAAAAGAAAATCTTGAAAATTCGAAATTTTTTGGGATTTTTTTTTAGTTTTTAGTTAAAAAACATAATTTCTTGATAATATGGCAACATAGGTTTTAGATTAAATTTGCAAGAAAGAAAATCCAGAAAAGATGCAGTGGTTCTCAAAATGTTAGCAAATTTTTTTTTAGAAATTTTCAAAGTAAAATAACTCCGTTATTTTGGACTTATTAGAAAAACGATAAAGATGAAATATGTTTCTTTTATCGAGATCTACCACCCCTTAAAATATTTGCACTTATTTCTGGGACACCCTGTATAACACTTTATTTTTTTGCATCTGAGTGTATTTTGCTAACAAAAGAAAAAAGTCAATGTCGACATTTTTTATCATTAAAATATATAGCACTTATGGTAACTTTTAACCCCAAAATCGAATTTTTATTCGCTAAAAATATGAAAGAAAATTATAATTAATTGAAAAAAAACCATAGAAAAACTAGAGAATGACTAACCCGATGTAACTACGAAACAAAGCAGCATCGGATCTATGTTGATATAAAAAATAAATGTTATTTTTACACGAGGAATCTCCCCAAAAGAGATGGTACATATTTTTTGAAACAACCTGTATAAAATGACAAATAACAACATTTTAGGAATTATCAGCTTCTTTGGATACGTATGTTCCCAAAAGTGCGGATTTATTTAAATCACCCAGCGCTACATCTCATGATAACTTGATAGAAAATGGTAATAACACGCACCATAATATATAAATTCTTCACAAATAAATCTTCTCGTAGACTATAATCCCAAAAATGATGAACTAAACTTAAAAGGAGTTTACAGCACAAGGCAGGAATTGGGAAATTTGAATTTTAGAAGCGGTGCTTTGCAGACTTTTGGACAAGGAGGTGGTGGCGTTGGACCAAACGGTCTTAGCAAGAAGCAAGAGCTTATGGTCAGATCAGCCATTAAGTACTGGGTAGAAAGGCATAAGCACGTTGTAAGGTATAAACAATTCAAAAATGCTTTATTAAAAAATTATACCGGGTGGTGCAATGTCGTTAGAAACATAGGAAATCTTATGCAAATTATGAACTGTCAAAATATTGGCTCCCTTGTTAATTTTACGGCGAACTCATAATTAGGTTTGTAGTTTAATAACCCAAGTTCGTTCAACAAAGTTGAAGAGGTAATATTTTTGGCCAACTGTATAACAAACAATTTAAATGAAATAAAGGAACCTACGTTGGGTTAAAAGTATTTTTATTGAGACTTACCTCGGATGCGCTTGACAGAAGCAATATTTTGGAAAATTTGAGCATAATTTGAGGAGAATAGGTTATGTAAATCAAATCCTAAATTTGTAAATAGCACTACTTATTTTATTAAATGAAATGAAAGGAGTGCCTGGAATTCACATGTAAAAAAGCAAGGCAGAGAAAACCTTGATCAATATTCCAAAGAATCCATCTATGCTGTTATGTACTTTAATAAAATAAAAATAATAATAATAAAAGTACTGTCTTTCACACCAAGATTTGAGGTTTAATACATTCACAAACATGTCACATTTATTACATTCAAAACGGAAGAGGTTTTCGTCAGTTTAGCGGGTCCCCACCCACAGGTACTAATGCCCTGGTTGCGGAACTCAAGTTAAAGTTGAAGGTTCTATGCAAATATCTTTAGATTTTGAGTTATTCTATGATTTACTCTATTTATTATTTTGTTTGCTCTTTTGTGAGCTAATATATTCGCCCATTCACGGTCGAAAAATTTAGTACATTCAACAAGGCTCTTATTGTCACACTGAACAAAAAATATCGACACGAATGGACAGTAAACGATTGTATTTAGATTACCGTTAAACTGCAATTATTCACAGCATAAATCGAATCCATTAAAAAATACACACATGTTATATATCATCATTGTCAAATCAAATAAATAAGAAATACTTTAGAACAGAATATTATAACAGGAAAACAAAATAATATGCTTTAGTTAAAACTAGTTAAATAATGAGGAAACATTTGCTTTCCCTTTAATAACATTCTTTGCGACAAAACTTACAATCCAAAAAAAATATTTTTTTGACGTTTTTTTTTTGGTTTGTAAGTTTTGTGATCCCACACCCGGCATTTCATCAGCCGACTATTTTTTTTAAATAAAAATAGTTTGGGTACTTGGGTCGACTCAGCCTTAGATGAGTACTTGGGATTCACAATCCTGAGGTAATAATAGGCGGTTGAAGCGTAGTGCTAGCCACATTACCTTCCTTGTATACCGAACGACTCTAGTATAGCAAGTTGTACCTTGCTACTCCCAAGGCGTTAAACGCTATACCGGGTGTTGCATCGTCGGACGGGACATAGGAAATCCCATGTAAATTTTAATGGGGTCAATTGTTGACTTCCCTAATTATTTTAGAGAATAATTCTATTTAGGTTTATTGAAGAGTCCTAAAACCCACATTCAAAAGAATAACTTTAGATATTTTTGATTAGCTCGTTTACGAGTTATCGCCGATTTCCTTTTAAATATTTCTCCTTTCTTATGGCCCTGTATTTACTTATGAGCACCAGTCATGGTAAAAGATAACTGTCAAATGAAGTTTTCATTTCAGAAATTTACCTATTTAGTGCTTTATTATTATTGAAAACTCATTCCTACATCGGAAATCTTAAAGATGTATTTATAAATACCAATTAAAATGAATTAAAGTAAAATAAAGTAATCAATTACAATGTAAATTATAGTATTATTACAATATTCAATAACTTATTAATTTAGGTACTCTTAAATTGTTAGAACTTTAAGATTTAAGAACATGTTCAAATATTCCTCCATTGACTGCTAGACAACAACCCAGGCGATCATAATTTTTTTTTGTTACATTCGCTAGTTGGTAAACTGAAATTCTATTGCATTTGGCAGAAATGGCATTTTTTAACTCCTAGATTTGGGTATTTTTTATCCTTGTATATCCTGTTTTTTAAATGGCCCCAGAGAAAGAAATCATTTGGCGAAATATCAAGAGATCTTGCTGGCCAATTTACTGTATGATTTAGGCCAATAACGTTTCCGTTAAAACTATTGTCTAAATATTCCCGAACAGCCAGGGTACTATGTGGCGTGCAGCCATCCATTTGGTACTGATTTTTTGACTTCCTGATTTTCCCTAGCGGCATCATGTAAAGCAGGTAAAATATGATTTTCGAGTATTTGTTTTATAGTAGAGTAGTAGAGTCTTCGTTCCAATATATAATATTGGATAATTTTGAACATTGGGTTCATTATTTAAGGTAAACGTGCATTCGTCAGTGAAACATATGTCTTTTAAAAATTCCCTATCCGTGTTTGCTATTTCCATCATATCAAAACAAAACGCCTGCCGCCGTATTTCGTCCTCATCTCGTAGCTCTTGGTGCTTTTCATATTTAAAGGAATAGTATTTATGTCGTTTCAAAATTCGAAACGCTGTAGTGTGATCTATTCCTATTTCATCCTCAATTTTTCTTGAACTGATCTTTCCATCGTCATGCCATTGTCATGTCATGCCATTCTCATGCCATTGTCATGTCTCTTCCACGCACAATAGAACTTCCAAATCGGTATCATTTCTTGCATCTTCTCTTTGTTCCTGCCTTGCTTCACATCTGCAGTTATTTATTTGGGTACCTTTGGTCTCAAATCTCTGAATATTCCTTGCGATTGTAGATTTTCCAGGTATCGGTCTATTCGGATACAGAGCAGCAAACATGTCCGACACCTTTTGATAACTATTTCCTTGATAATACCATTTAATCATCAATACTTTTTCTTCGGTAGTGTAATTCATGGCTAATATTTTCGATGTAGGTATGAGTTTTTAATAATAATAATAATAAAGCACTAAATAGATAAATTTCTGAAATGACAACTTCATTTGACAGTTATTTTTTACCTTGACCGGTGCTCATAAGTAAATACAGGGCCATAAGAAAGGAGAAATATTTAAAAAGAAATCGGTGATAACTCGTAAACGGGCTAATCAAAAATATCTAAAGTTATTCTTTTGAATGTGGGTTTTAGTGCTCTTCAATAAACCTACATAGACCCCATTAAAATTTACATGGGATTTCCTATGTCCCGCTCGACGATGCAACACTCGGTATAGAGAAGCTATTATTATATAAGTTTTGTGAACGTTCGAGAACGGTAGTATATAAGCTATTACCTAACACCTATGATCTCTGTTCGCCGTCTGATTTTCTCTGGTTTTGCTGATAATAATTTAAAAATCAATAATTTTAATTTATGTATACAGAGTGTCTTAAAACTGAATGTTTTGAATGTAAAGAAATATGTTTATTTTTAAATAAAAGGTTAGTGTCCCCGAAATGTATTTTTGTAATTTAAAACTTTTTCGAATTAGGAAAAAGCCTAAAGTATAAAAACACAATTTTGCATTCACGAAATTATAGATTGCCAACTTAAGGTATGTTAGCATCTGCCTGGCATACACTATTGCGTATTCAGTTTTAATTAAAAAAAAATGCAGATTTTCTTAAATTAGCTAAAATCGCCTTGTTAAGTGTTCAAATTTAGCACACATATTCAGCATAAGCAGACCTTTAAAAACCTAATTACGATTTTGCTGTAAAATCAACAGAGGAGATAATATTTAGACAGTTCAAAATTTGCATGAGATTTCCTATGTTTCCAAACGACGATGCACCACCCAGTATATACAAATATCTACTTTCTCGCTGCATTTTCAAATAAGTCTAATATAGCCGAGTTATGTACTTATATTGTTTAAAAATATAAAAAATATATATTATATTTTTTTTAATATTAGAGTTCCCGCAGTTTTCTACTTAATTTTTTTTCTACCAATAAGTTATAGTTTAACAGGACAATTAAAAAAATACAATATTTTCAACATTTTTTCGCGAATAAAAACCAGTGGGGCAAATTATGCCATCCCTAAAAATATTTGCACTTAATAAGCTCTATAAAAAAACAATGAAGTTTGTGTGCTTAAATATTTGTTCGATTTTTCACTCCTACATTATGTGTTGTAAAGCAACCCAATTTTAAGAGATCATTTTAACATTTTATTTTCTTCAGTTTCAAACTACGCTATAATATTTTAGTTTCATCAAATGACCCTTTAGTCTTAAATAATTAATTTTAGAGTTATTTGATGTTATAATCTAATATCGGATTGGCTGTCCTCAAGTTTTCAATATCAAGGTATACGTAAGCATAAAATATAAAAGGAATCGATGTTTAATAACGGAGCTGAAATTGAAGGGGAAACCGAACATGTGCTAAAATTCCCATTCTAAATAAAAAACGAAGAGTATTAGCAAAAGTATAAATTAGTTCTTTTATAAGCACTACTAATGACCAATATAAAACTTAATCAATAGATAAATTGAAATTGAATCTTCAGTATAACATATACCCCAGTCAAATTAGTTAAAAATAGGCCCATCGGTAGAAAAAATTCCCTCAGTTTTGAAAATGATTTTAAACGATTCCTCTAGACTTGGGCGGATATGTGTCAAAAGTCCCCGAAGATAGACGATGAGCTCGAGGAGTGGGGAGGAATTAAATGTCAATTTTTTCACTCTTTTTTGCTTATATCTCGGAAACTATGACATCTACCGAAAAACGCTTTATATATACGAATAAAGCTGATAAAATTCTCTATAAAAATGATTCTATACATTTTTGTTCCCGGACTTATGGTTTCCGAACTATGCCCTTCATAAATTTCGATACTAAATCAAATGGCATATTCCAAATCCGTACCAAACACATTTTTTTTCATTGCACGTTTATAGCTCAAATAGCGTTGAAGAAGTACGATATCATGATTTTTTAAGTATTAAGTATAACTTTTAGAGTATACTGTCCCAAGTAGCATTTGGACGTTATCTAACGTCGGGTATACGTCACGTTCAATAAACCCGACGTCGGGTACCAACGTCGGTTCGACCGCCTGACGACCCTTATTTGCACCTAAATGGCGAATACAGATTCGGGTCGCCTCGACGTCGGTATCTGACCTAATAGGGAATGTAATTCTACCAATTACCAACGTCATATTACGTTGGATTTTAGTCACTTAAAATTCGTCGCTAAGCACTTACGTTACGTTTGGTTTCATATTCGCTACCAAGAATACATAAAAACCTAACCAAACTACTTAATTACAAATGGATTCATAATCACTCCTCGAATATAACTATAAGTGCTTATTTAATTTCATATTATAATAATTCTGAATCATTAATCCAGATATCAGTTTTGTCAAAGGAAGTCACTTTCTTGATATATCTGATTAAAATACTCCGGAAAACCACGAGCGCCTTCCAAATTAGGTAGATTTATGAAATAAAAATATCTATAAAAAAGTAAATCGCAAAATATTTTTTTAATTTTCTAGCTGGTTTAATCATAAAATTGTACTGTGGTTCCCCCCAAACTCAACCTTATCAATATTATTCTACTAGAAATCGAAATGTAAATATAAATTTTAAAAACAAAAAACGATTTTAAAATGGCCGACAATCGGATACGTGTTAAGAATGGCGGATTTCTGTGTCCGACTTAATATGAACTACCAATATACCAATTCCGACCGGGTCTCCAACATTAGTCGTCTCACACGACCGAAGTCATCAAACCGGACAACCGGCAATCGTATTATGACGTATATAATTCCAACGTACGCCACGTAACCTCACTTTGCGTTTTGCGTATCAGTGATTTGTGGATTTGTGCAACTATATTTTAGTTTTTGTTTTCTCGTTAAAAAAATGCGCAGCCACTTTTTAAGCCTAACCTCACATGTCGGAGGAGGATGGGGTCTGCTGGTATCCTAAGCTAAAAATGAAATTAAGATGCACCAGTGTAATGCAGCATCTCTTCCGGATAAAAAGCATTTACGGGTGGGACATCACTACTACTATTATTATTTTGCAAAAGCCACGACCTCTTTCTGTAAAATGTAGATGAATGTCTAAATGCCTTTTTAGTGTTTTTTTAGGCATAATAAAAAATTTAAGGTTGTTTACAAAAACTTTTTATTAGGTTATGTTCATGATGTTCATTAGGTCGCAAATGCTACTTAATGGGTTGAATTTACGGACATAAATAGAGATACGTAAATTAGGTTATAAATATGAACATAAAATACAACAAAATATAATTGGACATTAGTTTAGGGATTATCAGTGAGACGTATCCTATTCGGACAACGGGTAGACGTCGGGCTAGTTCAAGTATATGTACGTCGTGCAAGCCAACGTGGGAACGACGTTGGGAAATTAATAAAAATGGTACGTTGTTATTTTGTACATCGACAGATCGTTGGATTTACCGACTCGGATCCAACGACGTCGCTTTTAATAGGAAAGCGACGTCACAGGTCGTATCACGAGCAACCGACCTAAATTTGCACAAAGTCTTACGTCGCTTCAGGTCAGATTTAGTTCGAAGTCAGATAGATGCTACTTGGGGTGATTTTATAAATTTTAGACATGATGCGTTCACATAAATCACTCCTTGACTGCACAAGTTATTTGTTAACAAGGATAATGCTCTCTGTTCATTTATTTTGCTTTACTTGATACCTTTGTGTAATTAAAAGAATCAAAACTGACATTATGTATATAATATATTAAAGAAACAAAATAAATAATAATACATTTATATAATAATAGTGAATTATTATGTTTCTGAATTAATTTTTGTGTCGGAAATAAGAAATACCTTCATAAAATTCTTCAATTTAAAAGTTTTATAATGAACTTTATCTTTAATAATGTAGATTTTTGGTAATTTAAATTTCATAATATATGATACAATATTGTACAAAATTAAAAAAGAATATGATGGACTTTCTAAATTAAAAAAGTAAGCGATATTGCATTATTATAAATAGTAAATTAAAATCACTTTTTTTACTGAATACAAATTACTTGTCTAAAACGGATAATGTGGAAGTATGTGGATACCATTATTATATTCAATATTGTAGGTTGAGAACATTCAGAAATCACACTTTTATATCGTCGGTGAAACGTGATAACCTGCCAACTCCATTTTTTACGTTAATAAGTTTTTTTATGCCATTAGAAAGAGAAAAAATTCTCTATAAGTAGGGAAAGCAAACACATTTTTTTTCATTAAAGAACATTTTTTATTTTAACTCAATAATATATGCTAACTCCTAGTGATCTAAAATAGCCACCGAAATGCTGCTAACTCCATAATTTCTGTTACGTTCACGCAAAAGCAAACACGCAGATTCTTAGTCGTATGTTTTTTTAGTACAGTACGTCGATCCAGGGTCGCACTAGGCCAAAGGGGTCCGGGTGGCAATGTAAGGAGGGGCCCGTATGTTTTTTTTGCGTATTTTTTCGCCTTACGTCTTGTTCAATTTTTCCCTATTATATACAGGGTTAGCCTTAAATAAGTTTAGGGTAGTATATTTCGACCCATGAAACACGATTATGAGGTTTTTTTGCGTGAGTTTTTTTTTGAAAATTTGGAATTAAAACGAAATTGAATATTTTTTTAATTTTTAAAAACATACTTTGTTTGTAATATGGTAATATAGGTAGTAGATTAAATTTACAAGAAAGAAAATCCAATGATTCTCAAAATTATAGCAAAAAATTGGAAATTTTAAAAGTGAAATGACTCGGTTGTTTTGGATTTATTTGAAAAAACGGTAAAGAGAAAATATTTTGTTTCTTTTATCGAGATTTACCAGCCCTGAACATATTTGCACTTATTTAAGACTCAACCTGTATAGAAATCAGGGAACTACCCTAATGCAAGGTAAACCCATGCAATGCAAATTCCATAATGCTATGCAAAAGCAAATATTGTTAAGAATAAATAATGAACTATAAAGGGGGCTCTCGAAGACTGGGCTCCCCCTAATAGTTATCTATATAATATGGCCAGTCCGACCCTAAATACGGGGTATCCGTAAAGTAAGGTAAGGGGAAACACGAAATTCTATATACGAGCAATTCATCGGCGTGCTATAAATAGTTTAAATAACATTACTATATAACTATAATACCTAATCAGTTTTATTTTTTTCAACGTTTTTTCACGTAAATGATACATAATTTTAATAAAAATTAAAAAAATAAGGAGAAAAGTAATAAAAATTTAATAAAATCACGCACTGGTCTTCCAAGCTCGGTCTACTACCGTTGTATAAAAATTAGGATAAGCATGGAAGGATTCTACCATATTTTCTAAGAATTATAAGTTTAATTTTTAAATTATTTTCATATTCAGTCAAGTCCAAAATTCTGCTACTTCAGTAAAAAAATTCTGCTACTTCACTAAAATGCAAAAAAAATTAAAATTTTCATTAAAAATTTATTCGTTTTTGGACTTGTATGTTTTACTTCTAGACCGACGATATTATAAATATATGGTTATGAATATCATATTTTTTTAAATTTAATTGATTATTTCTACATCTGTTTGGGTAATATTCATATCCATTTTCAAAATTTTAAACAATAAAGGTTGCTATCTCCAGAAGTATATTTTTATTTCTTGTTTCTGCAAGACGAATATCTGCTATGTCCCTATTGTGTCTAAAAAAAATGACGTAACACGAAATATTGAGTTTTATTGTTCCCCAGCAAATAAAATTCTTATCTCTTTATCATATTAACGCATCAAAATACTTCCTACATGTGTCCATATTTTTTTGTACCGTTTTTTTGCTCTCCTGTAAAATTAGGAATAATGGAGTTAGCAGTTTATCACGTTTCACCGACGATATGCGCTTTTAAGACTCTTTGAAATTATGCGAGGAAAGACTGATACTATATTTGCGAAATGGATTGAGTAGTGCAAGTACGTAAATAATACACCTATACCTATAGGAAGAAATGATGTAGAATATCATCAATTAATATACAACTTCAATTAATATGAAAGGTTAAATTTAGACATTAATATTATTTTAAATGTGAAAATACAATATGAGAAATAGTGTTAATTTTGTCAACACTGTAACTCTTAAAAGGCTAGACCTATGAAAAAATGCATTGAACCAATTTTGTAGAGAATTTTCTATATAGAGTATTTTTTCGTAAGTGCCATATTTTCTGAGATATAAGCCGCTAAAATGTTATAAAAGTGACATTTAACACCTCCCCTCTCCTCAAGCTCATTGTCTATCTTCGGGGACTTTTGACACATATCAGCCCAAGCCTAGAGGACTCATTTAAAACCATTTTCAAAACTGTGGGATTTTTTTCCACCGATTTTTCTGATTTGACTAGGCTATAAGCCTGTATAGGTAGTTTCTTAAAAAAACTGCAAAATAGTAAAAAACCGGATAGTAAATAATTATCCAATTTTGGAAGCAATAATAATCATAAAGAAAAGTTTATGCTTTTTTAAATTATCCAATAACGGAGCTGATTTAGCAACGTGTTTCTTTAGATGTTGGGCACTTGACAATCATTCGAAGAAAATCGCATAAAATTAACTGATTATTGAAAATTTTGTCTTGGATTGTCTTAAATTAGAGTTTTAAGTTAATTAGTCTTAAACACACACTCTGTATATTTATATCTAATTAGTCGTTTCTTTTATATTTTAGATTGGTAACAGCTATAGGTGACGCATATGGGGTAGCACTTCTTCTGCATATGTTAACAGCAACTATTATGCTTACCCTCTTAGCCTACGAAGCAACAAAGGTGAGTCAAATTTGTTTACATAAACGCTCATTATTAAATAAATTTTACAAACATTGATAAAACATTCAGAATGCTTCTTTGAACATTTACAACTGATATACCAACCAAGTTCCTGACCGGGATTTTAAAGTATATAAGCAGGGTTCGGAAAACAAAATGTTACTTTTAAAAACTACATAAACTACATTACATTAACTACATGTAATGTAGTTTATGTAGAGGGTGTAGTTTATGTAACTTATGTATGTAACTTTCAAATATCAAAGGTTTGAGGTGAGGTTTTAATAAGTTGAAGCTTTAAAAACACAAAGATCGTCATTACCAAGCCAACTGGACGCCATTTTTTTTTCGATCATACGGTATTATTCTTCAGTTAACAGACAGAGACACAGATTAAAATGAGCGATGTAGGAAATAAAATTAATGTTACACCAATAAAGTTTATAATATCATAGACGTATTAGAACTGTACTAAAATAAGCTAAATATTTAAAGAGTATTACATTATCATTTAACACTTGAATTAATTTACTTCTATAAAATATGTTTACATCTAGTAAACGTCATAGGTATATTTTTATTTATATTACTTATATCATATTCAACCTTCAGACATAATTTGTGAGACTATGAGAACCATTTTATGCATATTTATAATCAAAACAAGTTAAATAATTGATTTAATTTTCAACGCTGTTAGATTTAAAAAGTATACTTATCTTAGTAATCTGCTGGTTTAGTTGTATTATCTCACATATTATCTTCATAATATATGAACTACTAAAACTAATATGAACTTGTAAACACTTCTGCGTTAATTCCAAACGGAAACTACTTATCAGAAGTTAGGTATACAGATATACAAATTTGCCTAACGAACAGTTAAAAGAAAAAATAGAATAAAAGAAAAAAACTATTTAAAATATTTAAATTCAACTATTCGAGAACACTTTAGTTTTTTAAAACAGATACGTCTACAAAAACAGTTGACATTCTGTTAAAATGACATTATATCAAGTTAAACTTCAAAATTAACAATTACTACCTGATAACAATTACTTAATAAGGTAAAACCAAAAAGTCAAACCAAACCAAACTTTCTGTATAATTATTTTTAATTTTTACGTATGTTATGTTTAGTTATGTTATGTCATTTAAAATCAAAGAAGCGATTGCCATACATTACTAACATCTACAGATGCATGAGCAATACATTTATTTTTATTAGATTGTAGAAGATTGTAGAACTTCTTTCATTATAATTTTGGCGATATTAAAATTTATTCTGTGCCCTGTGTCCCATGGATGCTGACAAATATTAGATTTGTGAAAATCTCCCTTTCTTAAATAATCTTAATAAATTTATAATAAATATATTAAGTAATATAATTATATAAATAATAAATAATGTTCTTTATGGAGAAATTCTTTACCATTTCATTGATACCAAGTAGTTTTACCCTTAAATTTAACATTTTTTGTTCAGGTGTTTCTAGGTATGGCTAATGCTCTTAAATGTAGAAACTATAAGTAAACTATATGTACAACTTAACAAGTATAGCTGGAGACGTGAGAAATATAAAAAAAATAAGAGACGCCCCTCGATGCGCAGTGAACAGCAAACAAATTTGCTTTGATCAGATTTGTCGTAGCGTAACTGCATCTATCTTCCGCCGAATGCGTTCTCTCTCTATCGTGTGCGCGACCGGTGCTATCCTTAAGTCTCTTCCTATATTTGTCAAACTGTACATATAGTTTATTAATTTATTATGCAAATAAACTGACTAATACAAGTAAAATGGATATAAAATGAATAGTTATGACAGAATTATTAAAAATTAATCGATACCTTAATATTACATAAATACATCTCTTCTATACTATTATTTTTATAAATTATTTAGGTATTGACATCCAAAACTTACTGTTTGGTCATTATATATTTTGTTGTTTGTTGTTAAATTAAAAAATGTATATAATGTATATATGTATGTTAATAAATTAAAAAATTTATAAAAAAAAATGTATATATTTCTCTAGATTGATGGAGTCAACGTTTACGCTGCCACTACATTAGGATATTTAATCTACTCTTTGGCTCAAGTATTTCACTTTTGCATATTCGGAAACCGTCTGATTGAAGAGGTAATAAATCACTTTTACTCGATACAATCTTATAATCATGCGTTATAACGATAACTCAAAAATTGCAATTTTAGAGCTCTTCTGTTATGGAAGCAGCCTACAGTTGCCACTGGTATGACGGATCAGAGGAAGCTAAAACGTTTGTTCAGATCGTATGTCAACAATGTCAGAAAGCTCTATCAATATCCGGGGCGAAATTTTTTACCATTTCATTGGATCTGTTTGCCTCAGTAAGTAAAATATTTTCATGCTCTTTTCTCTAAATTGTTTATATTTAAAATTTAATTTAAAATAAAAATTAAAAAAAATTGAATATGCACATGTGTGCATATTTGAAGTGAAACTTCTTACTAACAGCTATTAAATTGAAGGATTTGAAGGACATGTTTGAAAGAGTGTAGTTTGGAATGCTGAAAAAGTAATACATTAAAAATTAATAAATAATTTCATTCTCTTTCACAAAATTTGTATTAAAATGACCGTCTGTCCATATGAGTACTCCATTCGGGTACCTCTATCCACATGCCGAGTTTGGTTCCAATCGACTCATGATTTAGAAAAATCCTGATGATTTCGTCTATTTAAAAGCATCGGTTCGAAACGTCGAGGGCGTCATCCTGTAGCCCGTCCCCAGTTATGCCGAAATCGACCCATATTTTTTTTCAATATCAAATCCTTAGTCATCACCCCTGATCAAGATGTAAACAAAACATCTTATCCAACGTTGCAGGGCAAGACCGTGTGTACTGTCGCTCGCATAGCCTACCCAAGAACAGTTAACTTAATAGGATTGCTCATTCAGTCGAAAGTGTCTGCCAGGTGCATGCAAAACTCCTCGTTTTGTGACGTCATTGTAGTCCTTGTCATAACAGTGTATGTATTATATTGGTTGCCGTATGCAAAACATTTATTATTTAGTTTATTTATTTAAACACTTTGTATGTATGCAGTATAGAAAATTAACTGTATAAATCGCATTAAACACTCGGATAATGCATTTTTAAGAACAGCAATTCCCAGCATTGCCTTTCGCAGGCATTCTTTTTAGAGTACTTCCTTATTTTGCTTTAAAATAATTAATAAACAATATCATAGGCAGTTAGTAAGCACTTAGTCACAATCCATAACACAAAATGGACGTATTTATACACTCTATAGCTCTAAAAACTTTAAAAACACCTTTTTCACCTTTAAAATCCATAAAATAATTAACTCAACATTTTTCAGCTGTTATTTTTTACCATAGGCAACCAATAATACACACTATCATGACAAGGACTACAATGATGTCACAACTGTCAGCTGAAATGCGGGAAGAGGCAAACGTACGTTTGCCTCTTATTGCTATTAATTATAAGGATGAGCAATCCTATTAGTTTACCGTTCTTGTAGCCTACCCACAAAATTTGATAGAGATCGGACGACATCAACTTTTGACATTCATTACGGCAAAACTAACTGTCACTATGCCACGTGTCGATACGGTCAAGTTTGCCTTGGTCCAATCTATCGACTCATGAAGTTTCATTTAAATCGGACGATTTTTTCGCTATTGATGATGAGGTTTCATAGTGCACGAAACGTCGTCGAAATACACACATAGAGCCCGAGTTACGACGCGACGCTTTAAAGACCCATCTCAACTTCCTCATTGACTTACCACTTTTTCGATCGTTACCACTTTTCGTGACGCATTTCGTCGCACTAGCTCGTGTGTCACGGCCTTAAATTTTTACTCCCAGCGCGCGTAAAGAAGTTTCTCTTCAAAAATTTATAATCTATGAAATGTAAAAAATAGTTAACACTTTATTAACAATTATTATCCCACTGTACAAGGTGTATATTTTTCCGGTGTTCAATGGGGAATTTATATATCTTCAAAATATTATAATTAATTATTGAGCCTACCCCTCAGACAAAGATTTTCCTAGATATTTGAGTTTTTGCGTCATTTGGAGCCTCCGCGGCGTATGGGAGGCGCCACCCTGTATAATAACTTATATTTTTGTTTAATAATTTTTTGAATATTTTCAGGTTCTTGGTGCTGTGGTCACTTACTTCATGGTATTGGTACAACTCAAATAACTTAATTACTTTAATTGTAATTACACAATAATGCAGGCATTATTGAAAAAATGCGGTTCTCTTAAAATTTGTATATAGAATAGAAACAAAGAATAAATATATTATCTAAATACCGGAATGTGATACTGAAAGATTAGATTCATATTCTTAGTAATATATGTAGTTATATGAATATTCGTTTATAGTACAAAGTTTTTTAATGGTACTAATCTACATGATATTATATCTGATACGTAAACCTTGAATTATATTATTAGAGATTACTAAAATAACAATCAATAAGTTTGTTATATTTTTCATTTACTTATTAAAACAAATATTTGGTACAAAATATTTTTTATTTTGTAATTTCTATTATCTTATAATTTGCCTGTATATATGCACTTATATTATTTAACATAATGTTAATTTTAGTGATTTTTCTAATCAGCACATAACTATATTTTAATAAATTAGACAAATATTTAGTTTCTAATAAATATATTATAGCCTCTGTTAATGCGCAAGTTTTATTAGGCTGTATTAAATTGTGAAACAGCTTATATTTACACAGTATAATTTTTAAATGTTTATAGTAATTCAAAATTAATGTTATCTAAATTTATTTTCATCTTTATCATTTCCCAACTAAAATAATACAACCTTCTTTTTTTCCTGAATTATACAGGGTGAGTCTTAAATAAATAAAAATATTTTTAGGGGTAGTATTCGAAATATACTACCTCAGAAACGCGGCTATGGTTTTTTTTCGCGAAATTTGTTTTCGGAAAATTTGGATTTTTTTATTAGAATTTTTTGGTTATTTTGGACTTAACGGTAAAGAGCTCTGAAAATATTTACACTTATTTAAGACTCACTCTATATTACTGATATAATTAATATTATAAAGTAAATCCTAAAAATATAAGAAGAAATATCTAGTTCCTTATTTCAGACAACTCTACTATAGCATAATAATTTAAATATTTTTAGTTTAAACACTTGGTATGCATTAGTATCAAATATTAGGATTCAAACAGAAAATAATTTTATGCTGATACTAGATATGTTGTCTAGATCTAGATGTCAATTTTATAGGCATTTCTTTTTGTAGTTTCGGTAGTAAAATGTATTATTTATTAAAAATAGGCATTCATTGTGTCCTTATTAAGATTTAAATTAACTTTTAGGCAAAAACTTTTAATATTACAACAGAAAATTATGCATTTTTATTTCCTCTAAACATTTTTTTATATTACTCTTGGGCTAGGTTAATAAAAACTAATTATAATTAATCATGGTTACGGCAGAAAAGACTATACATTACATAATAGAAATATAATAATATACCGGGTGCGTCTCAAAAGTCGCTTACCCCTATAACATTTTACTTTTTTCAGTTAAAAAACGAGATTTGGTATGTTAGTATATGACATGAATAATTAGGATTAATTGACGTATTCAATTGTTTTCGGTCACTTCCTGTTTCACCGGAAATGACTACAACTTTTGATTTTTAAATGGCACTTTCGGTATTTTTTTTACCTTATTCCAAAGAAAATAACACTCTGAATAGAATGACATACATCTCAACTTTTGACATTTTCGCATATTATTTATTTGAAATTATAACTTGCGGTTCGTAACGAAAATTTGACTCAAAATACCAAGTGTGTGGTATCAAATTATTCATAAAAAAATGCTTTTTCCAAATATGCTGATGAGCCACCCTCGTTCCATTTGAAAAAATTGAGATATGATTTAAAATATGATTTGAGCATTTTCTAATTGGCCAGGACAAGACAATAAAAATATTAGACGATCAAATCTATTTTTCCAAGGCTCCTTGATTGAGAATTAGTGTTTTTAACATAGCCATGGCACTCCAGATTGGATTTTAAAATACAATTTTTTATTAAGCGAGAATGTCAAAAGTTGACATATGATATGTCATTCTATTCAGATTGTCATTTTCTATCGAATAAAGTAAAAAAATACCGAGGGTGCTATTTAAAAATCAAAAGTTGTAGTCATTTCCGGGAAACAGGAAGTGACCAAAAACAATTGAATACGTCAAACAATCCTAATTTATGTCATATACTAACATACCAAATCTAGTTTATTTATCTGAAAAAAATAAAAAAGTTATAGGGGTGAGCCACTTTTGAGACGCACCCGGTATAAAAATGTTTTAGTGTAGTGTGGAAGTGTATAATTTTCTTATTTTTAAGTTTAATTAATGTTAAGTTTAACTAATAATATGACTACTATTTATTGACTACTTAGTCAGTTAATGATACTGTAAATTATACTTAGTCTCTCTTTGATAAAAATACTATAAAAATACCTCTAAAAGCCACAAATTTACCATTGAAAGGAATTTTTTGGACAAAAACAAATAGTTTTTGATCTAATAATTTCTTCTTGTTGCACATTATTTTTATAAGATTTGTTGTATGTTTTTTATTGGTCTGAAGTTTTTTTTGGTTCTTGATACAAAATACATTTTTTTTTAATATATGACATATATTTTATTAACTATTGTGTTGGTTTAATGACATTTTGATAATATTTTAATTTCTAATAAAATATTAAAAATAACAACCCCCAACTGAAATGAAATATTATCTAAATATTTACCATAATGTAAGTTTCGTTAGGGAAAAGTGGGAATATTTGCTTATTATAAGCACTAAGAATAAAGGTACATTCAGTCTGAGAGCGTTGAGCGTCGCGTCGAGTTTGCGTCGCGTCCGCGTGTCGAAATGGAATCAATTAAGTTTGGCGTTGCGCTAGCGTCCGCTAACCGTCGGTGTTCGAGTTCAATGGGGCGGACGCGATGCAAATGCGACGCGACGCTCGACGCTCTCAGCCTGAATGTGCCTTAAGAATTAATATTTTAAATTTTGTACCAGTGATAACTAATAAATATACAAATTAAAATGTTTATTGAAATTCTATGGTTGTACTAAAATATTGATGTAAGAGCACTTCTCTAGTATCTAATGTTAAAAATTATATTTTTACCTGTTATAAAAATTATTTAAAATAAACTGTTATAAATTGCTTTATTTATTTTACAAAATCTAAGCACATCTCCCAAATTTAAAAAAAATCGAATTCCAAACACGTTTTTGTTGTACTAAACAAGAACGAAAAGCAAACTTACGTTCAAAAAGTTCTCTAGAGTTTTGAATTGTTTTATTTTTTATTTATTTAAGTTTTGGTATACATTAACTTCTCAGAAACATAGTTTTCCTTTTTAAGAATATATAAAACTTTTGGCTTTTGCATTATTGGCGTCTACCCTAGATACCATTTAAGTTCAATGTCCGCTCATTTTTTGTTTGAGCCATAGCATTACCATTCGCGATGTCTACTGTCAAAACGAAGAAAATTCTATACAGGGTCCGGCAATAGTGCGTCGGGCATCTGTAGTTCCTAGAATAAAAAAACTTGGGAATTTTGTTTAAGTGCAAACCTAAAGTATGTACTAGGATGTATTTGAGAAAAATATTATAACTTTGACAGGGTGGCTCAAAAATGTGTTAGTGGACCGGAATAATTTTTTAAAGAAACACCCTGTATGTTATTGCATTTTTGACTTCTTTTCAGATCACCTTTATATAATCCTAAGATATGAGTAAATAATATATTTCAATAGTTTCAAAGATAAAATGAATAAATAAATAAAAAATATTTTTTTTCAGCCTTTCTTAAAAAAATTATTAAAAATACAAGAACTGCCCTGAAATAAAAAAAAATAGGTATTTATTTTAAATGGTTTGTTACCTTTGCTATAAATACCGAAATCTTAAATCATACAAGGTTTTCAAAATTCTACGCCAAACTATCTGATATATAAAATAATTTTTCTTCTTTTTTTTAAAGAACACCTTTTATATCAGTTTTTAATAGATGGAGAATTAAAAAATAAACATTTTTTTTATTTAGAGTATTTCAAAAATTTTAACAGTTTTGCAGGTATTTGCGATTTTATATTTCATATGGCATTTTCGACAGTAAATTTTTATCAAAGTCGCCCAATGAAAGAACTATATTAAATAATACCGCGAGTATCTGCGAAATCGTTAAAAAATTTAAAATACTGCAAATACAAAAAAACTAATTCTCCATCAAAAAAAAATTAATATACAGGTGTACCATTTAAAAAAAAAATTATGAAAAAGTATTTTATATTTTAGAAAGTTTGGCGTAGAATTTTGTAGTTTGGCGTAGAATACCCTGTATGATTTAATATTATGATATTTATAGCAAATTAAGTACAGACCATCTAAATTAAATACCTCTTATAGTTTTGATTTCAGGACAGTTCTTGTATTTGTAATGATTTTTTTAAGAAAGGCTTAAAAATATATATTTTTTATTTATTGATTAACATCTCTGGAACTATCAGAATATATTTACTCACTTTATCTTAGGATTATGTAAAGTGATCTAAAAGAAAGCCAAAAATGCAATAATATAAGGGTGTGCCATGTTAAAAAAATTAATTCAATCCACTCACACTTTTTTGAGCAACCCTGTCGAAGTTAAAATATTTTTCTGAAATACATCGTAGAACATATTTTAGGTTTGCACTTCCAATTTTTTTATTCTAGGAGCCGAATTCTACAGATGCCCGACGCACTATTGCCGGACCCTGTATAACTAACTCTCTATAACATGTCATCAATTATTGTTTATTCTATTTTTATTAACACACGCATAGTTGCACGCATTAGTTTTATTAAATTTCCATAAAAATTAAATAAAGCAAGTATACTTTGACTACAAAAGCAACATAAATCCGTACACAAATACATTGACAGTAAAAAAATTTAAATTATTATAAAACTTGGGCGAATGCATTTATTATAAAATTTGGGCGAATCTAAGTAACCTAAGTACTTAAAAAAAATATAATAAAAATAAAAATGTCTTACTTTAATGACACGCCCTGTATCAATATTTATCTCAATTAGAACTTAAGTATCTTAGGTAAGGAGGATTAAATGTAATTTATCATATTTGAAATAAATACTGTCCTAAGTTTACTCTTGACTCGAAAAATATCAAACCCCATTAAAACGTACGTCTATGAAGTATCGCATTTCTTACCCTGGGCAAAATGTACGTCTTATAGCCATACAGCCTCCTGCCGAAGATGAAAAAGAACGCTCAACAAGCATCGGCTTGTTATTGGCAAGATATTGGCTTGTATCCATCTTAAGCTCGAAGAAGTTTCTGAGGGCTTATGATCAAGAAAAATCACAGATCTTCCTGGGTCTGAGTAAGAACAATCTTCGGATTGTCACGGGGTTTTTAACAGGACACTGTCTCCTCAATGAACACCTCAGTAGATTGAAACTAAGAAGAAACGGCGAATGCAGATTCTGCGGGGAAGATGGTGAAACACCAGTACACCTCATCACTGGAGTGCAGCTGAGACGACAACCACTCGTGCCATGAATTTTGGTACGACTGATATTGGAGATGGAGAACTACCCTCTATAAAACCGTCCCAGATACTGGCTTTTGTCATAGCCCTGGGACTGTATGATGAGTTATGATTCAAGAAAGGGGGACACAATGGATCTGTAAGGTCGAAGTGATTAACCCCCCTCCCACTCATTCTAAATTCTAA